GAAGAAGCAGGGCAACGCAAATAATTATATCAGAATAGACATTAACAGAAATTACAACATACCCTGCAATGTGTGTGTGTGTGCGCGCGCGTGCACACACACATGTGCACACACACACACACTTAAGTCAGATGCGAATCTAGGGGAAATGTATTTAGTCAACATAGGAATATATGAAATCTTTGTCAATTAAGAAAGCCAGCTGTTCTGTTCCTTGAATCCCAACTCTATATGAATGGTGGTGGTTGGTTTTTTTGTTTTGCAGGGCTGATCTATGGAATTTCTGGAAAAAACATTTTACCAATATTTGATGGTTATAAAAGCAATTGAATTAAGTAAAATCCTGCCTTTTGTCATGCTGCTATGGGAAGGGAAATGTGTGTACAATATCTGAAAGGAAATTTTCGGCCACCCCAAATGGAGATGCAATTCAATCATGAACTTTTCTTTCTTATCTTTCCCCTCTTTCTTTTTTTAACACAAATGTCTTAACTGTAAAAAACCACAGTAAGCAAGCACTTCCTGTCTTGTATCTGTATCTTCCCAAAGGCCACTTTTGATCAACTTTTGTGTAAAATGAAAGAAGATATGATTTCTTCTTCTTACAAAAATTAGAATATTTTAGCAATAATAGCAAAATCTGTATGTGGTAGGTAGTGAGTATACACCCCTTCCCAATTTTGCTACTGTTCAACTTTTTTGTTGAAATAGGACACGGACACACACACACACACAAACACACACACACACACACGGACACACACGTCTTTCATAAACCAGACATGTTTTTTTCTTTTTTACTTCCCAGTGGTGTTTAGAATAAACAAGATGTTTATTTTGTTTTTCATTTGTTAAAATAATTTTGCCTTCTCAGTTAAAATGATTGAGTTTCTAGAGGCTATCTCCTTTTGCAAACCAGGAGTTGATGGCAAATGCCTGAAAATTATTTTCACATCCATTCCCTTTGAATACTAGATATATAAAGTCCTATTTTTTCTTTGTGTTGAAGAGTGAGGATATAATTTCTCAGTTACCTGGCATGGGAAGAATTTCTCTAGTGTGGGCTTCCAAGGTAAAGCTCAGAGTATGTGTTAGACTATTTTTATCAGTTTGATTTAGCCCCAAGGATTGTATGTATGTATTCCTGCTTATGAATAAGGGGGTTGGGGTGGTGGTTTCTGGTGGGTATATTGGCATGTGGGAGTATTAAAATAAGAACATTTCACCTACATTCAAGCCTTGTTGAAAAATGAAGAATGTCTTCTGTGAATGCTAAGAAGGTCTCCGTTTCTGGGGAGGACAGGCAGACATTCCTCAGGTCATTAATTTGGGATGCACTCTATAAAACTCTCTGCTCCAAAGCAGACCAACAGAAGATCAGGGGGTTGCTTTGCAGCAAGACAAGGAGGGTGTGGCTTTATGTTTTCCTCAGCATTCTTAATAGGACAAGAATCTCTTGGACCTACAGGAATTGTTAGAATACAACATGAAAACATCCAACTGGACTTAGGACCTCTCTTTTTCTTCTTACATTTATTTATTTTTAAAAATGTGACTCCTTACATTTTACACTTTATTTGTTTAAATAAAAAAGGCTGACTCCTTTTTCTCTTAAAACTAGGACTTTAAAAAAAAACCTAAGAATAAGCACATAAGCAATTTGCCCCTAGACTCCCATCATTCAATATATGATTTAATAGTTGAAGTGATCAGATGGATCAATATCTTTGATCCAGGGCTGTAAAAATCAATTAAAATACTATATAGTGAAGAATTATTTCAGCATTTGGGGTTTTCCTATGTCTTCATATTTACCAGCCACTGACTTCAGTGGTCAAAAACAATGGACGAAAAATGCATAGATATGTAGAAAGCAATAAAGAGGGAAGGAGAAAGGGATAAATGGATGTTTTACCCACCAGATTGTCAGAAACTTAAAAGGCCTTAGTTACGCATGTGAAAGTAAGTGACCTCTCTAGAATTTGGGAAGATTCGAGGGTGGCTGGTTTTTGTAGATTTTTTTTTTTATTGAGCCATCAGTCCACTGGAAAGGCAGCCTGAAAAGCTTAGTGTACTTTATGTTGCAACTTTTCAAAACTATAACCAGCAAATTAACCTTGAAAACCCTAAAGTGAGACTATAACCACAACCAATTTTAGTCGTATTTTATTTTTAAAAAATTAATTTCACATTTGAAAGTTAAGCTAGTCCAATTTGGTATAGTGGTTAAGATGCTGGCCCAGAAACCACAAGTCTGTGAGTTTTAATCCTGCTTTAAGTATGAAAGCCAGCTGGGTGACTTTGGCCATTCTTTCTCAGCCTAACTCACCTTACAGGGTGATTGTTAAGTAGAAAATAGGAGGAAGGAAGGAGTATTCTCTGTCTTGAATTATTTATAAATAATAAAGGCAGGATAAAAACATTTTTAAAAACCAGTGTGGAATGTTGACATTTGCCAGCTTTTTTTAATGCAGAATTCCCCCCCCCCCAAAAAAAAAACCATCCTTCCATTTGTGAAAGCATTGCCTAGTGGGGAAAGCGTGTGTGAGTTTATCTGGATGAAGCAATGGCAGGTCTTAGGACTGTATGTCTTTTGGCAGGTCTCTCTTCCCAAAGGAGTATGAGGCCTTTTGCAAATCACTTAGGGGTTGCTGAAAAAGCAAAAGAAGAAAAGGAGGGATGTTCCGAGCCAAAAGAAGTTCATTCATTCGAGATTGGATGACACACATCTAGATACACATACATCCAGGGTAACATTCCTGCCAGAACAATTTCATTTGCATTCTCATCTCTTTTTGAAAGCATCACATTTTAGCAAAGCAATTAAAACACATAATGCAGCCCTGTAAATCAGAAACATAAGTGGTAAGAAGGAGTTTGACTATGCAAGCAGGTGAAGGTATTTCTAAATATATTTGGCTCTTGCACATAATTTGCAGAAAGAAAAAGACTTCCTTTATGGGTCTGTATGAGATAGAGAAGAAATTATCTCAGTCTATTTGGAATATATAGAAATAAAAAAGGGAGATATAACCTAGGGCAGAAATGTCAACATTGTAAATAGTAACATATGCATCACATCTCCATAAGAAAAGTTGACTCTGATGCTCAGGATAAACAAAGGCTTGTTGTTGTTTTGCAATTGAAGCTATATTATCTTGGGACTGCCTCTTAAAGGATATGCTTCATCATTTTTAATTTAAAAGAAAGATGTGCTTTCAAAATCTGATCAAGGAAAAAGAACCAGATCCAAAGAGCTGATTCAAAAGCTTTTAGATGGATGTAACTAACATTGTAAAAGTTCTTTTCTTATCCCACAGTTTGAGACATTTTCATCACAATTTTATAGGAACAATCCCTCAAAGTATCTTTCCTTCCAACCAAAGCTTTACATTCTTCTCATGCACCCACTTATCAAAAGAATGAAAATAAGAATAATGCTTCAATAAATATATGAACATTTTCTTTTTAAAACAGTGTTTTATTTGAAAATAAAGCTAAAGCATGCTTTTTCAAGAGTGCAAATTTCCATCATTTTGATTTACTGTTTCCATTATCACAACATCTAGAAGTCCACTTGCTTCAATTATGACAAATTTTAAGTGCAAATATAGACAATTGCCTCTGATTGTCATGTGCAGTAAAAAATGGTCTTGCTACAAAGATAGGATGGTTGGGAAAACTGAAATTTCCAGGTATGTAAGAAAACAGTGTCACATCCTGGTTTCAGACACCTGAGTTTGGGTGATCACAGCAGCTACTGAAAGCAGGAATTTGGGGCTTCTGTTGTTGTATTAAAAATGGGGGAGAGGGTGATTGCATTTTCCTGCAATGGAAATCTGGAAAAAATAATATTATTTTGATTTTTTCAATCTGAGAGAGACACAGTTATGGATACTCCTTCATCTTTCCAATGAAACATAGCTTCAATCTGCTCCACTGCAATCCTAATTCTTCTAAGACTGCAGTCCTTATCAATCATTCAGGGGCTGGTGTGGGAAACCGGCTTTTTAAATTAAATGTGCAGAAGTCTGGTCTGTGATATAGGAGACTGAATGCTGTAATCAAGATATGATATATGGACATTCTGACCAATTTATTATGGGAAGGGATAGAATGCTCTTCCCTTACGTTTTTAAAACTGACTTATCCTGGATAATTATTCTTAATTTTAACAAGAATCCAACTAAATTTAACTGCTATTGATTTTCAGCTGTGAAAGAAACAATTGTCCCAGCAATGATCTAGAAACATACACTCTATGCTAAATGTAGGCATGTTAGTTATTTTGATATAAAGGAGATGAGGTGAGGATTAAGAGGTGAGAGAATACTTAGAAGTTAAGAAGAAGCACGCACCCCCCCCCCCACACAACTAAATGATAAAGTCCCTGTGCAACTTTTTGCTGAAGAAAATTGAATAAAATTGTACAGACTTCCATGTTCCAGATCTAGTGCATTACATATTAATGGCTCATTCAAATAATCTTTCAACTAATAAAATCCCAAACCCCAAACATTTACTTGTAACAATTGAATTGAGGTACCAGGTGCATTATGAGCAATCTGAGACATTAAAGTGTTCCAGCTTTGAGAGAGTCCACTGAGGTGTTTGTTTGTTTGTTTTTAATTAACTTGAGACTTTTGCTTGAAGTAGTCTGTGGAATGTAAGATCTCTCTCCCTTCATGCACACTTCTACCCTCCTTCCCCCCATGATCTGTTTTCATGGCAAAAAGTAATCCAATTTTTGCTGTCTTCTTCCCCCCCCCCCCGCTCCCCCCAGTGACTGGGAGGAATAAACTAGAATTCAAAAAAATCAAAATGCAAGCAGATGCGATAGAAGAAAAACCAGAGTAGTGAACTGTGGTGAAAAGAAGGTGTTGGGAAAGGGAGAGAATCAAAATGATATTAGATATAACTATTATTATTAGGATGAATTCAAAAACTCAAGCCATCCTCACATCAACCATAAAAGTAGAATTCCCATCCTAGCTCTTTCTTTAGTTCAGTTTCCTGAACTTGTGGCTGGGTGGAAGAGGTATTGGTGGCCCACCCAGCTGCCATTTCCAGATAGGATGGGCCTTGGGTGGTGGTTGGGCACTCTTGGAGGTGCTTAAGGTATAGGCTGGTGTGAGATCTCCATCTGGGCCAACCACCAAGGAGGGAGGGCAGGGAAAGTTGCCCATGAAACTGAATGGCCTCTTGAGGGTGGAGGTGACACTGCTAGCCACCCTCTTGCGTCGGTTGAGAACAGCTAAGTCATCCAAGCTGCCTTCTTGAGCCTCTGGGAGTTTCCCTGGAGGTGGCCGGGGGTTGCGTGCTGATTTCAGATTTGGCTTGAGTGGTGCTGGGCTCGGTGTGGTGGCTCGTTTGCCCAGCACCAAGGTGCGGTAGTTCTTCCTCACCCGGGCTCCGAATTTGTAATCTCCATCCTCAGGTTTGGCAGCAGAAGCATTGCCTAAAGTGCATGCAGCAAGGGTCCGGCTCAGAGATGCTGGACACAGAGTGCTCTTGAGAGGGCTAGGACAGTCCTCTAGGCAGGTAGGGTCTGCCTTGGCTGACAGCAAAAGAGTTCCAGGATGCTGGGTGGGACCAGGCTGTGGTGATGACTGGCAGTCTGCCTCCACCTTGGTCTCCTGGTCACTCTCTTCCCATTTGAGTGGGATCTGTACTGGGAGAGCCCCATACTCAGCATTAGCACTGCTGTCCTCAACTTTGATCTGGGCAATGGGCACAAAAGAGAGGAGCTGGACATGGCTTTGGAGATCTGGACTTGCAACAGCAGCAGTCCCCTGGCAAGTGGCTGATCTCTCATTGAACTGGACATTTCCCGGAAGCTCCTTGGGCAGATGGGTTAGGGCAGCAGTGCTACTGTCTGCACCAGTTGGAGAAAGGGGAAAAGGATGAGGGTGAGAGGCAAGGGCAGGCTGGCAGGTCTGGCCCTCTCCGAAAAATCTTGCTTGGGGCAAAATGTGGTTTGGCTTTAAGCTAACAGAAGAGTCACCGCAGGCTAACCAGGGGACCCCAGGCAGGTCAAGAGACTTTACCTCAGGCACGAGTGTGGAGTGGTCCTCGCCAGTCAAGAGGAATCTTCCCTCACCGCCACTGGCCCCTTCCGTGGGCTGCTCCAGCAATCCTAAGTACGCACTGCCGACAGGATGCGTGGTGCAGTCCAAGCCCGGCTCAGCTTTTGAAAGCCATCCAGCCGGGATCTTCCACTCCTCAGGTTCTTCCGACGCTTCGCATTTGACGAATTGCGCTGGACCTGGAAGCTCCTCGTGGCTAGCAAACTGAGGCGGATGGGGCACGAGGCTGGCTGAAGTCTGGAGGGTGGGCGATTTGCAGAAGCTAGTGCGCCTGAAGCGGATACTCTGGACCGAGACGTGGCTGGACCCGGAGCTGGAATCAGATTCGGAGCTGGTCTCTTCTTCCTCTTCCTCCTCTTCCTCCTCCTCCTCGTCCTCCTCGTCTTCTTCCTCTTCTTGCTCTTCCTCGTCAGAGCTGAGCTCACTGGAATCAGAGGCGCAGCTGCCTTCCTCCTCTTCCTCCTCAGAAGAACCGGAATTGCTGGTGCTGCTCAGGCTGGAGCAGAAGTCGGAGTCGTTGTCTGCGTGATTCGAATAGGAGCTGGATTCCGAATCGCTGCTGTAAGGTTCCGGGAAAACCGGGGCAGGCTGCGGGGTCAGAAAACCACGCAGTCCATGCAGCCTCTCCGCCACGGCGCTCCGAGCTGCTTTGCAAGCTCGGGGCAGAATCACCACACGCCGCCCGCACCCGCCAGAGAAACGCCTTTCGGTGCTCTTTTTCCGCTTAGTTCTGCAGCCCAGACCCAGCGGTTTGCTTCTAGAGACTGCCGCTGCCGCCGCCGCCGCCGCCGCCGCTGCTGCTGCCGCCGCCGCCGCCGCCGCCGCGAGCTTAGGCTGAGTGGCAATGGCGGCCGAGGAATGGTAGTAGTAATGAGGATGCTTGGAGCAGAGCAGGCTCCGAAAACAAGCCGATTCTGTGGCCAGCGAGACGTAGCCGGGGCCAAGCTGGGCGGTTTCATAGTTTACAGCTTCATTGCTAGGCGGTGGGGCAAAGCTTGGCAAACTGCGCCCGGCGGATTTGCTCCAAAAATGAGGTAGATCCGAGGCCGGTAGAAAAGCTCCTGCTTGTGCAGCCGCCGCCGCGGCCGCCGCCTTGCGCCAGGCTGCTTTCTTTCTGCTGCTGGCTTGGCTTGTAGTCCCTTCTTTCAAGCTCACGCAAAGTTTGCCTCCGTCTTTCCAAAAAGCCGCGTAGGGGTCGGGGCGCAGGGTCTCCTGGCCCGGCTTGGCACCTCCCCGACGCTTGGTTCTCAGGACGCGCTCGGTCTTGCACGAGGTATAAAGCGCCTCTACGTCCTCGCGGGAAATGAGGGTGCATTTGGCTGCGTGGAAAGCTATGGAGTTGATGGACTTGAGCTTCCGCAGTTCCTCCAGGTCGCACTGGTGCTTTTGGACTTTCAGGTGATCCATGCGCTTGTGCACCGTGGTGCGCGGGATGTTCTTCAGAAGATCTGTGAAGACCTGCGAGAGGGGGAACATCTGCTTGCCCCGAATCATCAGGTAGCCCAGGCGTACGCCATCCACCTCTTCGAAACCCGACTTCAAATCTTCCATGGTGCGCCTTAAATTAAGTCTAGCATCTGGGCAGGGAAAGCGGAAAATGGATGGGCGACGGCCCGCCGTGCACCCCACAAGTTGGAACGGCGATCAGCAGCAAGAAGAAAAGGTGCGATGTCGGGCGGGTGGGGCGGCAGAAATAGAGAAAGGAAAAAAAGAAATCCACACACGAAAAGCCAATTAAAAAAAAATCCTTAGCCAGATGCTGGGTTTGGTCTCAAGGCATCCTACTGAATGGAAAAGAACAAAGCGTGTTATTCCTGATCAAAGTTCGGAGGACTAAAAAAATCAGAGGCGCAAGGCAGAAAGGAGGAGAAGTGGAAAGAGCCCTGGAGGGTGGAAATAAAAAAATCATGTCCTGGGGAGTGGGAGGGAATATATCAGTTTGGTGGCCCCGGCCTTTCTCGCGACGTAGCTGAGGAGGCAGGCTCACTACCTGTGTCCTTGGGCTGGCGGCTCTTCCCCCTGTCCAGCCCAGGATAAAGGAATGTAAAGCCAGAGGGCTGCTGAAGGAGGCAGAAGAGGCACGCAGCCGTTCTTCCCGCCGCTGCTTTCGCTCCAAATCAAATGACAGAGTGAAGTGAGCTCGTCCGGAGACACCTTCATCAATTAATTCCCCTAAAGCCAGCGCTGATTGGACACTCCTGACAGGTGATGCAATAAAAATTGATATTCCACCCCCTTCGTGCCCCCCCCCCAATCTTTGGCTAATTAGCATACTCTTAGACTGCCACCTTCCCTCCCAAAGTAAATAATACTGTTAGTATATAAATCTTTCTATTAAACAATCCAGAGGTTCTCAACCAGCCCAAAGGCAGCTCGACGGCGCTTGGCTATTAAAGGAACGGGTTGGAATTGGATTACTGACACGGTGTTAGTTCTTTTTTCTTTTTCTTCTTATTTTCTTCTTCCTTTTCCTCCTTTCTTCTCTTCCTCCCTCCTTCTTCCTCACCCCTCTTCCTCCTCCTCTTCCTCTTTCCTTTTACACCTTTCTCCTTCCTCTTTCCTCCTTTCTCTTTTCTTCCTCCTTCTCCTCCTGCTCCTCCTCCTCTCCTTTTTCTCTTCCTCCTCCTCTTACTCTTCCTCCTCTTTTTTTCTTTTACAAAGCCCACCTCCCAAAATAAATACCAATTCGAAAGCTTCATCCAGCCATTTAGTATAATTAAAGAGGGGCTGGTTTTCCCACCAAGATACTGCAAGAGTTCTAGGGATGGAAAGATGACTGAGGGGTGTGTGTGTGTGCGTCCGAACAGCAGAGTAACCATTTTAAAGAATCATTTTAAAGGGGCGTCTATTCTGCCTAACGAGTCAAAGGAGACTTGCTCGTCTGGCGGGTCCCTCCGCGGGCGTTAAAGTTTTCCCTTTGTTTTAAGAGCTGGGGCGTATTTGTTGTTATTTGGATTTCTCCTTTCTCCCCACCCACCCCCTCCGACTGAGAGAACGAGCATACTCACGTTCACTAGAGGTGCCTCTTCTTTCCTCCTTCTCGCTCCTCTCTATCCCCCCACACCCCTTTTCGTCCCCCCCCCTCCAAGAGCTAAGTTGTTGCTCCCCTCCTGGGGTTTCTTTGGGGCAGTGCGCTTCTCTAGAGCTCCAGCTCCGTCATACTGTAACACTTTTCGATGAAATTCTGCCTGTGATATTGGGGGGAGGGGAAACAGAGGGGGGAAGAGGAAGGGGGGAGAGATCAGGACGTGGGCTCACGTCAGACCCGTAACAAAGCAGAGATAAGCTAGAACTGTATCCACTTTCCACAGTTTGCGCCGCGGCTTCTCAAGGTAGAGGCTTTGAGTTTCCGAGTCAGTGCCAGGATCGCCCGAGCGTTGATTGTTTGGCGGGAGTGAGTGTGTGTGAGTGTGTGTGTGTCTGTGAGTGTGTGTGTGTGTGTGTGTGTGTAGAGGGGGGAAATGGTAACAGATTCAAGAGTATTTGGAGAAAGAATATTGTAGTGGGTCCAAAGGATGCTTCTAGTTTACAGCTTCTAGACTCAGCTGCCATTGCAGAACACTTCTACAGGTTCGATTCTGCCTTCCAGTCCCAGGGCTGCAATCTCACGGTGTGGGGTACATATCTCCTGTGTGGGACTGTGCATTTGCCAGAGAGCAGACTACAGATTGAAATTGCCTTTCATGCCTCCTTTTGTAGCTCCTGTTAGTGACCTCCCAATATTCAATATCTTAGTCTCGGGAAAATGTCAGGAAAAACTTGCAGGATTGTCTCCCCACACTGCCCACCAGTACCGCCCTTTCACCTTTTCAAAACTAAGGATTCTTTCAATCATCAAATGCATGAAAAACCAAATAATAAAATACATTCAGTCCAAAGGGAACAGCTTCTATGTGTGAAATCAGTCCAAAGGCTGGTCTTCCAATGGAGGTCCAGTCAATGGCCTTCAATCAGAATTCTCCAAACCTTCTGGAAGGTGGTAGATGGGGGCATCCATTGATTTTAAGCTCCCTTCTTGGTCAGATGCACAAATCAGGCCTCCCATAGCTCAGGGCCAGAGTCAAAATGAAATACATCCCTCCTTTGCAGAAAACCCATTGGGGGTGGCGGGAGAGAATCAATCCTCTCTTCTAATTCATGGTTCTGTTCCTCAGTCCCCCCCTTGATATAGACCTGCAGGTACAGGAAAAGGGCTTCTTATTATACTGGCACTGCAATAAATAAATACACACACACCCTATACACACATACACACATCACTGCTTTTCCCCATCTTTTTTTGTAATTAATTTTCATGGCCGTTTTGCATCACTACATCCTTTCACCTCTCTTTCCCCAAATATATGATTCCCCAAGAAGGCTGACTTTGTCTTTCTTTGCATGTGCAAGGCATCCAGAAATTAAGAGGGTCCTTTGAAAACCTAACTAAGCACCCCTGGGTGACTGCTTGCTTTCCTTTGGTTTCTCAAGAGCTGCCTGAATTCCCAGCCTCTTCAGCAGAATCTAAAGGCAAAGGTAAACAATGAATGGATGTATATTGCACAGCATAAGTTGAGCTCCCCATCTTGCTTATAGACAGACTCCTCTTCCTCTCACCAAGGAGGCAGCGCCTCAGATTCTGGAGCTGCAAGCCTATTTTTTGAGGATAAACAGCTATTTGGACTGTAAAAAATCATTGTAGCAGAAGGGAGGGAGGGAGATCTTTTCTTCGTTCTTTTTTTCTAGGATAGCAGAAGGCTCATTTTATTCCTCTTTCCTCTATTCATTTTTGCTTTGAGTTTGATGATTCTGGAATTCTTGTAGAGGAAGACACAAAAGAAAGAAGCAGTGGCCCAAGGCTCAAAGTTCTCACCTCTCTGGTAGCTGCATATTTGTTTTCCCCCTAAAAGTTGAGTTCTGAAGCCTTAGTTTGACCTGGTGCAGATCAATTCCTTTGGGTTCCCATTGAACACAAGCCAAACCAACATTCCCTTTACAGCTGTGAAGTACTCAGGGAATCTCTCATTCCCCCCCCCATTTCTACCTCCCTCCCCCCCTCACACACACACACACACACCACATACACATAAACACACACATTTAAATTTGCCAGATTACTTGCACCCTTAGGAAAGGTTTAAATTCTCAAAGGGTTTTGTTTGCTATAAGCATTGGCCTTAAAAGCATACCCTCTTGCACATGCATACAGTTATTAAGAATTGGTATGAATCCAAATTTCTTCCAAAGTACATTCTTATTTATTTTATGTAAGTCACAGTCATAGCAGCCTCTCTACTCCCACTCTCACTGTGTGTGTGAGAGAGAGAGGGGGGGAGGGAGGGAGGGAGGGAGGGAGAGAGAGAGAGAGAGAGAGAGGCAGGCAGGCAGGCAGGCAGGCAGGCAGATACAGAAACAGAGAGAAGCAGAGAGATAGGGAGGGAGAGGTAAACAAATTAAGAAGTAAATAAATACACATGCACAACTCAAGTCACAGGATTTAAGAAGAAGATGCCCAGCTGAGCCAGTGGATTGGGTTTAAATCTCTCTTCCCAGATTTTTTAGGTCTTTTGTTTCTTCAAACTTCCTCTTCTTGATTTTTATTTGGGGGAGGTGAGGGGGGAAGAAAGCTGCTGGTTTTCTTGTGATCATCAAAACAAGATGCCCTCACAGGATCTTTCTGGCAGCATGTTTGGAGGCAAGCTGGATTTATAAACAATAGCTCAGAGACCCCTAAGTGAGCAAAAAAGAAATAAATAAATAAATACTGGGGCTGTCCTAGGGATCATAGATCGCCTGCTGCAATCTGGGAGCCGCACTTAGAATTCACATTATTCACATGAAAAATCACCTCCTTTACCCCACTTCTATACACCCCCCCCCAATATAAGAGACCATGTCCATGTTTGTGCATATATTTGAGCCAGCCAGTGAAAAATTAAGGTGTTTATTTCCGGTCATTTCCAGAGAGACATTCTTAAGAGGAAAAGCAAGGCAGGCCCTTCCCTCCTCCCCCTCTGCTGGGTTACGATCTTTCAGCCCAGCTAAAGCAACATGCTCCAATTCTGGCTGTCTCAGGTTCCAGCCTTAAGCAGGCTCCCTCCTAAAGGATCTGCCTTCTAGCCGACTGTGACTGACTTCCAAGCCTAGGAACCTTGTCCTCAGTTCTTCACCTTCCTATCACAGAAGTCCCCGGGAAGACCAGCATACTGGGATTTATTCCTCAATGCCCTGTAGTTCTTTGCCTAAATCCTGGCGAAATCTTCTCAAAAGCTGGGCTAGTAACAAGGTTCACTTTAACTCCACTGAATTATGGGCGCTGCTGGGAAAGTACTTAAGGTGCTAAAGGCGTGGAACTGGGCCTCCCGTTTCTTTGTGGAATAACAGGCTTACACTGGGGATCTATGCAGGAGTAGAAAAGCTCCTAACTTTTAAGCATTTTTGCAAACTGGGCTACTGTAGAGGGGCACTGGCATTTTCAGCTCTTTTGAAAATCTTATTTCGAGAGAACCAAGGACCATCCTCTCAATTCCCATGAAAGGGTTTTCTGTTACAAATGAATGAAAAAACAAACA